AGCTAGGACTACAACCCCAGGCTCCTACTAAGACCACCTGTTTCTGAGCATTTTCTGCTTCATCAGCCTGCTTTCCAATCAGCTGCCTTGTTTTGTCACAACATCCCTGGGCGGAAAATGGGTTAAGCCCTGATAGCGTAGCCTCACTTCTCGGGAACTACTCTGGCCCATGATCAGTCTTCACGGGACCATCCAAAGGCCACCAGAGCAGAAGGTACCTTAGTAGAGGACACTAAGTGTGCCTATATCCAGCATCAATCCCCGCTGCCCCCATGGGACCTGTTCCCTGCCAATCAGGAAGAAAAAGGCCAGGGGCTCAAGTCATGAGAAGCGGGGAGAGTTTCCTCGGAGGCCCGTTAATCCCCCTTATCCTCCTACCTGATTGGAGGGTGTGAGGGAGGGAGGGAAACTAGGGCTAGGAGGCTGTGGCCCTGGGTTCCTGGGGTTTCTTCATCTCGGGATTCTCCACTTGGTCGTGTGGCCAAGCCTCTGAACTCGACTCTCTCTCAGATGGTGGGGCCGCGTCCAGAGCCAGACAGACCGCCTCAGGCCACAGCGTCATTTTTTCAAATGTGACTGTATTCTTCCCTGCTTCCCTTCATCCTCCTGTATCCTCTTCCCTGAGGGCTGCTCTGCTTCTCTGTTCCTTCATCCTACTTCCACTTTGCCCTTCGACCCTTCCTTTCTGACACAAAATGTGTAAGTTACCACATGAGAGGAAACCTGTCCAATCAGTACACGTTTCTCAAATAAATGACAAAATTAGCCAAACAAAGTTGGTCTTCTTGTCTCTGTGTTGAAAGATTGCCTCCCTTCTCTCACTGCTTGTCTCAGCTTTTCTGGAAGCCTAGGGTTTGCTGGCCTCAGGGTTAGTCCTTTCAGTAAAACCCTAACCAGCAACCTCCTTTCCAACCTGGAGCTGGGAACAGATGCTGGTCGCTTCACCTTGCCCAGGCGGGAAGTCCATCTGGTGCAGGGACAAGTGAGGACTGACTGCTCTTTCCTGTTTTGTCAGAGCATGAAGGGACGCCCGCCCCCAACACCCCTTTTTGGAGATGATGACGATGACGATGACATTGACTGGCTGGGATGAAGACCCAGGAAACTGGTGCAAAGGTTTCTCTATCAACCTTTCCCTAAGCATGATTTTGCACAGCCAGCCCTGGGTCTAGACGAGCCACAGAGTGAGGTGAAGGTGAGCATCCTGAGGACAGTAGTTCAGATATCTGAGTTAGCCAGTTTCTGAGCCCCCGCCTGGCCAGGTAAAGCAGAGTGTGAACCTGTCTTCAGAACGCTGGGGTTGTCAGCAGCCCGCCATGGTCCTGCCTCAGAGTTCCCCATGGAAGAAGGGCTGGGGGGCTCCCCTTCAGCCAGTCCCTACAAGAGTCCTGCCCGCTCCCAAGCTTTTTATTCTCTGAACTCTCAGACTGATCTGCCTCTCAATACTCAACTGTGTCCCAGCAACAAGACTGTCACCTGGGGTTAGGTCTCCCTGGTAGAACTGAGGGTGGAGTATATCATCTAAACCCGGTTCAGTTAACAGCCTTGCCTGCAGTCCTGGGACATACATCTTTTCTCTGCCTTAAAGCTGATATAAGAGGTCAATGAATATTTGAAATTAACAAAACTAAAATAAATGTTTGCAATGAAACTTGACTCAGGGTGAAATCAAATTTGGTTCTGAGGGCAGTCTGTGCCCTCTGGGAATCTAAGGGTAGGAGTTGTAACAGATCTGGGTTGGTTAACATGCATGAAAGCATTGTGATATGTTCTCTTTGGTACTTAACCCTGGAACTTTTAGGCTTTCAAAGAAGGTCACCACTCTGCTATCCCAGCTCATCCCAGCTACTTTAAGGCTCAGGGCAGCAGGGTTGTCTGAGGACCAGTCCTGTCATCCACTGGCTCCTGCAGGTGTAGTCCTACACCCTAGGAAGCCATGCAGAGAAGGTGGGAGGGTCCCTGTGTTCTCTTGCCATCCATGATGGCACCTGAGAGATTGAGTCTTCACTTTGAGAGCACCTTCCATTCCCTCTGAGTTTAGGCCCATGACTAATGTAGGCAATAGTGAGAAAATATCTGTGGTCATTTTACTTATTCCATGATTTTCTAAAGACCATGCAGCCAGTCTTCAAAAAGTAGAATAATTTTTGTTTGTTTGTTTGTTTTTTGCAGTACGCGGGCCTCTCACTGTTGTGGCCTTTCCCGTTGCGGAGCACAGGCTCCGGACGCGCAGGCTCAGCGACCATGTTTCACGGGCCCAGCTGCTCCGCGGCATGTGGGATCTTCCCGGACCGGGGCACAAACCTGTGTCCCCTGCATCGGCAGGCAGACTCTCAACCACTGCGCCACCAGAGAAGCCCTGACATCATCCTTTTTGATGATAGCTTTGAGTGTGTCTCCCATTTGTGGGCCTGGGAGGCAGTAAAGACTACCATTTACTAAACTTTGTTGTTCAACAAATAGGCACCGTTGTGGAGTACTTTACCCAGACTGTCTCACCCCCAGCAACCCTTGCAGGAGACACTGTTGTCCTTGTCTTATAGAGGAGAGACTGAGGCTTAGAGAGGTAAAGTAACCTGTCCAAAGTTACATAGCTAGTAAGCAGCACAACAACAATTCAAATCCTGGTCATTGGATTCCGCAGCCAGGGCTCTTGGCCACCCCAGCAGCATTCATCTTGGGTTGAGGAGGGCAGTGATGTTTGTCAGAAACACATGCTCCTGGGCCCCACCCCAGATCTCCTGAAACAGAATTTTTGCCCCGTTAGGGTAAACAGAGCGTAGAGTTTTCCGTCTCCACTGCCGTAGCCAGTTACTCTCTCAGCCTCAACCCTCATCTGAGTTGATGAACAGACTCCAGGCCAGGCTGCCTGGCTCTGCATCCTAGCTCTGCCACTTATTAGCTGGGTGACTTTATTTAACTTTTGTGTGCCTAAGCTTCCTCATCTGTAAGACAAGGACAGAAATAGTTTCTACCTTATTGTGGGGATTAAATGAGTTAATATTGTAAAGTGCTTAGAATACTGCCTGGCACATAATATGCACTATATAGGTGTTTGCTAAATTAAAAAAAAAAATTCAAGTCGAGAAAATACCACCTTTTGTGATTTGGCTCTGAAGAACGTTGAAGTGCCTACTTAACTTGGCCATATAGTCCATTTATCTAGAGCATAGATTTTTTTAAAAAGCCCTTCATGCTGTGAAAGCCTCAGATGTATTACCACATTTAAAGAGACTATCAGGGACTTCCCTGGTGGCGCAGTTGTTAAGACTCCGCCTGCCAACACAGGGAACATGGGTTCGAGCCCTGGTCCGGGAAGATCCCACATGCCGCGGAGCAACTAAGCTCGTGCGCAACTGCTGAAGCCTGCGCACCTAGAGCCTGTGCTCTGCAACGAGAAGCCACCACAATGAGAAGCCCCCATTTGCTGCAACTAGAGAAAGCCAGCACACAGCAAGGAAGACCCTACGCAGCCAAAAATAAATAAATAAATGTATTAAAAAAAAAAAAAAAGACTCAAACTGAAGAGGTTGCTGGTCACCTATGGAGAGTCTTATCTCAGCAGTGCCCAAGGGTAGGGGTGGAGCCTCCATCAGCAAGACAAGAAATCTTAACACTTGTGATGCTGAGCAGCTTTCTAACTCCCTGCTTATGTGGGGAGAATGCACTGACTGATCAATACTGAAGGCGTCACATGCTATACTTTCTGTTACAGCTATTTCTTACTGTAAATTTTTAAAAGTGGTCTTGATATATTTTTGCTTCTGCCCTCAGGGAGAGAAGGTGCTAATAATTGTGCTGACATGGGCGTTTATAGTCCATGTGACAATTATTTTTCTCATAGCAGGTTCACCATCAATGTCTGTTACATGCACAAAAGAATGGTTTGTTGACTAGGCTGGCATTGGGGGTGTCTGCCTGAGGGAATGGTGTTTCAGGGCTGGGTTTCGCTGTGCACAGAGTCGTCCTCTTAGCAGACAGACACTCAGTCTTTTGACAGCCCTACTGCCAGCACTACCAGCTCCACTGGCCCCACTCAGCTCCTGCAGTTGTTATCAGGGTTACATGAGCTTGCTGTGTGAATGAGGAGAAACAGAAAAACAGTCACAGACTATTTAAAAATATATATTAAAATATATTTCTTTTTAAATTCTCAAAGCTTCAGACCATCTTTCATCTAGCCCATGAGGTACTTGAATGTAGACATTACAGTATACAGCAGTGATTTTCTCTCCCTGGGTCTATTCTTTCCTTTTCTTTAAAGTGAAAAGGTTCAAATATCAGAAGAGCCCCACCTAACTCTACTAGTGTAATGCTTTGGTTTGACTGCTTATTGCATCTTCAGTCAGTACCCCCTGTGGCTTACTCAGTATTTTAAATGGATGAATCATGTTTCCCTACCAGATCATTATGGGTGAGCAGTAAGTAGTAAATAAAGAACATTTGTATTGAATATTATTCAGTGCAGTTCTTGGTTTTGCATAGAAGGAGGATCAGGATAAGAGGCGGGAATTAAGGCCATGAAGAGCTCCCTGACACCTAAAGCCATTAAAGTATCATCTTCCTGCAGGCAGTGCTGTCTGATGGGAGGAGCTCACTCTATTTGGAGGATAGGTCAAAGCCTTGCTGACAGTCCTACTTTTCTGCCTTTAGTCTGCTGTCACTCTCCCCCCAAGAAAGGGAAACAGGTCCCACAGATGCTGCCATCATCATGAAACCTGCCCGCCCCGGGTTCTGGTCTCTCCATCCACCCTCTGGTCACAGCACCCTTCTTAAGGCACAGAAGCACTATGCCTGGGCCCTCTGCAGCCTGGCTGAGGAGCTACAGTGGCCTCAACTCCAGGGAGCAAGTGCTGGCTTCAGCTGAAAGTTTCCAGGAGCTGGGGATGCCGTGAGAACAGCCAACAGAAGAAAAAGGAGACGTGGGGCTGGAAGTTCAACATCTGGAAGGAGGGGCCCCAGCTCTCTCCAGCCCCCAGAGCCTGCATAGCTGTCACCAGCTAAGTCATGCTGAGAAGTGGATAGGCTAGGTAGTAGCCCACACCTGAGCCCAGGACCACGCCGAAGAAAATCCAGGTGTTGTAGGACATAACAGCCAGCATCATGAAGTAGCCGATGACCACCTGAGCGACATGGAGTACAGACTGGCCGAAGTGACACAAGAACCACCTGGATAAAAAGGAGAGCCAAGTTAATGTTGGTAATGAGCTGGAAGCTAGGAGTTGGTGTCAGGGAGTAGAAAGAGCAACTGAGTTACAGGACTAGCTTATTTATAATTTGTATGCTTAACCCAGGGGAGATTTCTTTTTAAAGAGACATATCAGAAAACAGTGATTGAGAGGGGAAGAGGGACCTGTACAAGGAGTTTAGGATAATCACTTCACCACATTTAGCTCTGAGCTTCCTGGTATCCAGGGCAAAAAGGAAAAATGAGATACGTAATCTGTCACATCTGACAAGGGATAATACAAAATCATCAGTAAGGCAGATTTTTTTTTTTTCCCTGAATCTACTGTGAGAGGCAGTATTACAATGGAAAGAGCATGGACTTTGTTGACAGATTAATTCCTAGCTCTGCCACTTACTAACTGTGGCTTAGCACAAATGTCTTAACCTATTTGAACTTAAATTTCCTCATCAGTAAAACAGATAAGAAAATACCTCCCTTGCAGCGGGGTTGTGACTATTTGAGGCACTCATGTAAGAAACAGGCGGGCCCATTAAGCACAGCTGGAGCTGCAGAGAGGGCAGAAGGGGGATCTTAAGTGGCTGTCCTATCAGAACAGGAAGAGAAGAAAGGAGAGAGAGGCCACCCCCTCCTCCACCACCAAGCTGGATACGTTGCTGACAGCAATTCTTATTTGTGTGGGGACAGCCACAGGTCTCATCTTGGGTTTGGAAGTCTTAGTGACCTAAGGAAGCCTGCTGAGATTTGGGGGAGGGCTGGGTGGACACCCCTGTTGCTAGACTGAGGCCTGCACCAGAGTCCTGAAGATTGGAGCCTCCCACGTGGCTGTTCAGAGAGCTCCAGCCTGGGCATTAGGAGACCTGGGCTCTAGCTCACGTCACTACTTACTAACCGTAAGCACTTCAGCAAGTCCTGGTCCTTCCCTGGGCCTCAATTTCCTTTCTGGGAAGTGGGGCTAAGTGCCCTGTGGGCCCAGGCTAGCTCTCAGGGTGAATGTGAGGACTCTGCCTTCCCCCCTCCCAACCCCCGCCGTCCTGAGCCTGTTACCTGAGGTGGGTTCTGCTGACTTGGAGGGAGTCTGAGCTTGAAGAATTCTGGTCTGTCTCTTCCATGAGCTGCTGGCTGGTGGAGATGGACAGGCTTGTCAGGGCCTGGTGGGGCAGCCTGGCTTTGCCAACCTTTATGCCTTCATACAACACAGCCAGGAGCAAGACGACCAACACCGAAAGGGCCACGCCTGTCAAAGGAGGCTGAGTTACAGAGGCCCAGCCAGGCAAGCACTGCTCCTCTTCTGGCAGCCTCCCTGGGGAACTGGCACAGGAGGCAAAAGGGTACCTCCCCCAGCCACTGTGGATCCATTCCTTCTCCCTCCCTCTCTCATCTTCTTCCCCACCCTTGCTGGGCTCAGAACTTCCTGTCTCCCCCTCCAGCCCTTTCTTGATGGGGGTGGCCTACTGGAGTGTGGCTTTGAGATCACGAAGAGAAGCTGCCCGGCAAAACCGGGGGCGGTGCGGGGTGGGGATCGGCGGGGGCATGGCAAGGGGCTTGGTGGGGGGAGAAGCCATCTGTGCCCCACTGCTCCAGCTGCGCCCCAGCAGGCAGCCCAAGTCTCTCTGCTGACTTCTTGTTAAGGAAGAAGCATGCACAGCAAGTTCCTGTTTACGTGTGCATATACAGAAAAGTCTGGAAGGAAGGAGATACGATGAAGGAGTCATACTTATCTCAGCAAATTAGGATACAGTTTTTTATTTTCTGTTCACCGAATTTCCCTAAGATTCTACTGTGTACTATTGTAATGGTGGGAAGAAACCAGCTATTTTACAGAAAACATTAAGTGCTTACTAGAACTGCTGTGTAAAATGAACTGCTAATTGCTACTTCTCTTTTACAAGTGGAGGGATACTAAATGGTCCATCTATAGTATTTCTGGGGGCCTCCAGGAGGAAATCATCTGCAAAAGATGCAGGTTTTTGAAATATAAAATTACAGGTAATTGCATGCACATGGTACAAATTCAAACAGTACAAAAGGGTATAACAGTGAAAAGTAAGTATTCTTCCCAGCCTAGTCTCCCAAAACTCCAATGCCCCTGTCTAAAGCAGCCTCTGTGTATATAGCTTTCCAGGGACACTCAGTGTATATATAAACCTTTGTCTAAATGACAGCACCCTATCTGTGCATACTCTTCAGCATCTGACATTGTCATCCAACTGTACATTATGCATGAGTTCCCCTTAGTTCACACAGATCTACCTTATTCTCTGGCTTCATAACATCTGTGATAGATTAGATTCTCCAAAGATGGCTACCTCACTGTATCTCACCCCACATGTTCATCTTACAATGTCAACACTCCTGCCATCAAGAGGTGTGGTCCATGTTCCCTCCCCTTTAGCCTGAGAAGACCTCTGTGACTGCCTCAAGCAGTAAAGGTGGAAGTGATGTTCTCTGATTTCCAAGGCTAGGTCTTAAAAACTAGGCATGAGTTCTTTTTTTTTTTTTTTTTTTTTACCTTGTTCTCTCTCTTCTTTTTTTCCCCCTACCTTTTTCTCTTGGGACACTCATTCACTCTTGGAACCTAGCCGCCCTGCCACAAGGACCTCAGCTAACAACACCTGCTGAGAGTCCCAGCTTAAAACCAGCAACAATCAGTAGCCATGAGAGTAAGTCTTCAAGATGACTCCAGTTCCAGCCACTGTCTGATTATACCTGCATGAGAGACTTTGAGTGAGGCCTGCTTGGCTGAGCCCCGTCAACTCAGAACCTTGAGAAAGAATAATAAAATGACTGCTGTCGTTTTAAGCCACTAGGTCTACCACAGTAGATTACTGGAGTGGTAACACATTGTAGGGAGGGCCATAATTTATTTGATCAGTACCTACAATGATGGACATTTGGGCTGCTTCCAGTCTATTTTTATTTATTTTATTTTTTTGAAGGTACTCAACAAAGTTTATTGAATGAATAAGTTAAGAACTAAGAATTGACACTTCCAAAACACTGCAGTCTTTAAAATTGTTTTAAATGGACCTCAGCTGTGTAGAATTGGATTATTCATAATCTTTGCCTTTGCCACTATCATCACTGATCTAAGAACAGTCCTCTTGTAGTCACTTGTATTTTACAATCTGCCTAGCAAGCTATAGTTAACAAAATCACGTGTACTATTTCAAAATAACTTTTGAGAAACGTATTATTTCTATTAACAGATGTAATAACAGACTTCAATGCACTAAGTAACTGAATAAAGCTACTCAGCTAGGAAATAACATATCCTACTCCGTTTCTAATGCCTGTGTTCCTTCTACTATGTTACAATGCCTTTCATAGTCCATTCCCAGGTTTTAGAGATCCTGGTAGGTGGCTGATGTGTATTGAATATTGTGATCAATGCAATTTCCATCCATAGGCTGCCAGCAGAGATTATAAAACCAGAAAGTAAAAATGGCAACACGTGGAAGAACAAAAATATGAATCGGGTCTAAAGGTGTATAGGAGGAGAAAGTAGAAAGAGCTAGAAAGAGCTAGAAGGATTGGAGAGAATGGGCAAATGGGAGATGTGGGCTCCTAACAGAGATAACTGGATCATGGGAGTGAAAGCTCTCATCTCACCAGTCTATTTTTTAAATGCAAGTACTTAAGTGGAAATATAACTCCATCATGAATTAGTGCCCGACTCTGTCTTTTCAAGTTAAAGGAATACTCTTCTCATTTGAAGTCAACGGCTGCAGCAGCTGCTCTGGGCTTCTGATCTGATGCTGGACAGTGAACCCTGTATAAGGGAGGTGCTAAGAGGTAACAAGAGGCCTTGATCTAGTTCTGGCTCTGATGCTTACTCTGTGTGACCCTGGACGAGTCTTTTCCCCTCTCTGGGCTTCAGTTCCCTCCCCTGTAATAGAGGGGAAAGCTGCACCTCCTAGCCTCTCTCTGGACCTTTGTGAGCATCAGTGAGATAACACAGCCCTTTGCAATCTGAAGGGCAGTGGTTCCAAATGGAATTATAAATGCAAAGTTCCCGCTCAATGTTTATGCAAGAGGAGGCAGGCTTGCTAAAATGTCCACAGAGAATAACAACAATGAGAACCCAGGTTCCCACTGCCTGGAGGTACAAGGCTTCCCAATTCTTACCTGCAGGACTGTGGACACTCCAGAAATCAAAGAGAAGCACTACCTCATCTGAGAAGATGAAATGCATCTGAAAGAAAAGGGACGGCATCACAGGGGGCTTAGGGCAGTGGAAATTGTGTTCCCTAATGCTCTCCAGCAACCTCTTGTAAAGGCCCAGGAAAATGAGGTCACTGGACTTAAGTGCTGGAAGGGCCATTAGGGGTCATCAGGGCCAAATGAGGCCAGACAAGGCAGGGACTTGCCCAGGGTCCCACAGTGGGTCAGCAGTACAGCTGTAGTTGAGCTGGCCCTGTTCCAGGTAGCAGTAAGGTGTTGGTGGGAAGTTGCCCATCCTCACTGGGCCAGTTGGGTCACAGTGCTCTCAGGTCATGCTGAGATGACTCCTCTGTGCCCTCCAAAGCCAATGGGAGAAGCACTAGACTGAGGAACGACTACCTCTTCTTACCCCCTGGGCCCCAGCTGTTCTGCTCCAGCAGTGTTTATCATGTAAGGGCCCAGGGACAGCTGTCTTCAGTCTGTACCGCCCACCTGTTCACTTGAAATTAACTAAACATTTGCTGAGCCTAATGGTGTGCCCAACATTATGGACAAAGGTTAATGTCTCTGCCCTTGAACGCACAGTCTTATAGAAAGAATGGAGGTAGAAGCACTGAGCACACAGCATCTGTCTGAAGGCTCTTCTCGAAAAGCAGCTGGTCCACCCTGTGTTCAGGGTGGCATCAAGGGCTTTTCATATATTATCTCATTTCACCACAGTCTTCTGTGTGACAGGGCCAATTAGATCCAGCTTACAGGAAGGAAAACAGGGAACCAGGCTCTGAAAAGTTAAGTAATTTGCTGAAGGTCACAAAGCTAACAAGTTGGCAGAACTGGGATTCAAACTCGAGCCTAGTTAGATGCCAAAGCCCTATCCATCTATGCTGCCTCTCAATGACCAAGAAAGGAGAACAAGATGGGAACTGAATGGTGATTCTAAATGCCCACACCAGGCTTAATGACTATGTTTGGCAAGATTAAAGCCAGAGAGATCAATCAGTTCCCCTCTCAAGGAACAGAAGTTTCCCTCTTGTCACAAGGTAAGACCTCAGCCAGCAGAAGCAGCTCTAGAAACACTGTCAGTGCTCACCCAGCTGAGGAGATCCTGGCTGAGTTGGGATCAGTTGGTGGAAGCCTTTGCCTTCAAAGACAATGGCCAAATATTAGAATCCTCAAACGCCAGAGCTAGAAGTGTCCTCAGAAAGTTGTTTTTTTTTTAATTGAGATATAATTGACAAATAACATTAGTTTCAGGTGTACATGATTCGATATATGTATATATTGCAAAATGATCACCACAAGAAGTCTAGTTAACATCCATCAAGACAGTTACAATTTTTCTTTCTTGTGATGAAAACTTTGAAGATCTACTCTCAGCAACTTTCAAATATACAGTATTATTAACTAGTCACCATGCTGTTACATTACATCTCCAGGACTTAATTATTTTCTCAGAGAATTTTTAGTCCCCTGGTTTTCACTTTTTTCCACAGAACACCAGCAAATAAAATCTTCCTTGTAACTCCACTATATAAAACGCAGGGCTCTGGGTGAAGAGGGGAGAGACATGTGAGCTCTGCTGAAATTCAGTGTGGAAAACATTGATCTAGTCCAATTCTAGTCCCTTTCTAACCCCTTCTCATTTGTAGATGGGGAAAAGGAGTCCCAATAGGGGAATGGATTTGTCCGAGACCTCATAAGACGAAAATGGAAACCTAGGCAGTCTTTTAAAATCATGTTGAATAATTTTAAAATAAAAATAGCTTTTTATCTCCCTAGTATGAAAGTGGTACTTGCTCAATGTAGAAAGCTGAAACAATACCAAAAAGAAAGTAAAAATCATTTTGAGTCCTACTACCCAGAAACACCCCGTGTTAAGATTTCAAAGAGAATATCAGTTGAGGTGGCAAAATGTTCACAAAAGATTAATATGCAAAAACAAACGGGTACAAATAATCCTGTGAAATTCCATTTATACTGGAGGTGCGCTCATTCAATTTCAGAAGCCTCTGGCACCATCTCTGCAGGTGAGGTGGAGGGAGGTGTGGCGCCTAAAGGCGCCTACCCCTTTTCTGAGTTCACGAGATAAAGCAGTTGGCATGACTGGAATGTCCCCTGTGGCTAATTAATCAGAGAGGTTCCATAACTGGGTTCCTTCTGTCATCCTTGGGCCTGAGCCAGCTACCTCTGGGGCTCCAAACAGTTTTTGCAATAGATCTGAACACCCACCAAACAGTACAATTAATTCAATCAATAAGCATCGCTGTGCTGGGGGTGCAGGTGCTGGAGATAGATAAATCAGACAAGTCCTTGGCCCCCAAGGAGCTAGCATCTGTTAGGGGAGAGGGAGTGAACAGATATTACAACGGGGTGTATGTATTCAGCAAGGGGGAGAGGCACAGGGGAGCCAGCTGGGGTACTGGGGATGAAAACCCCTGGGGGACACCAAACCTATCCAGTGAGGCAGGTGGCTAGGACATCTTCTGAAGCAGAAGCAGGAGGCAGCTAGGGGAAGACAGTCCAGTATTTCCAAGCTGAAAGTGTCTATACAGAGTGTCCACCCCACTGGGGAGTAAGGAGCCAAGGAGAGACAAAGACTCACCTCTCTTGCCTTTTCACAGCAGACAAAGATTCAAATCAGCACACCCTGACTTGGAGCTGCAGTTTTCAGTTAAATAGTCCAGTGGTCAGATATGCAAGGGGCGGGCCTCTCATCCTGTTTCACTGCTTAGGATAAATCCGGGCCTCCAGTAGCTGAGTTATCTGCGCCTTGTTCAGGGCCCCACCCTGCTAGGGAGGGGCTGTGGTGAAGAAGAGAGCAATCATGGGACTTGCTTTCTTCTTTATTTTCTCATTTGGGGTTACTTACACTTTTGAGAAAAGTGCCCTCAGTTATAACCCGAAGAGTTTAGGGGAAGGAAGATTAAGGTCGCTGTCCTGCCGCTGACTGGGGAATTTTTTTTTTTTTTTTAATTATTTGGTCGCGCAGAGTGGCATGTGGGATCTCAGTTCCCCGGCCAGGGACGGAACCCACGTCCTCCGCATTGGAAGCGCAGAGTCTCAACCACTGGACCACAAGGGAAGTCCCTGGGTAACTTTTCACATAAGCTCTTCCCATCCGTTTTCCCTTTTAGAGGACCGGCAGGAGGTGGGTGTGTGCGTCTTACTAAATGACTTGCATTGGCTTCCTGAATCTTCAATTCTACGACATTCTTCATGGGATGAAGAAAATTCGTATATGATGTATTCAAAGACCAAAGAGGTTTGCAAGCTGTCATTCTCTCCAACCCAGGTGAACTCTACCAAGAAAACTAGTTTATCTGAAACGCTATTTCTAACCCAAGTGTAGGGA